AAAAAAAAAAAAAAAAACAGTTACTCAAGTAAATGTAATTATATACTACCCCACTCAGATTCCATCAACAGGAGAAGATGGGGATTCTCTATCCTTAAATATATCTGTGTGGCCTTACTTGTGTTTGCAAAGTAATGGTGATAATATTAGATATGCTTTGCTACACAGGAAAATGCTCGTTTAATTTCTTAAAAATCATTCAAAAAGAAACAATTACGTAAAAATATGATCAAATTTCAAAGTGTGTATACATACGGGGAGAGGTTCAGGTGGCTGGTCAAGACGCAGGGTGGACGACAGCATGGAAGGGCTGATGGGAAAGCTGGGGCTGCTGGGATTGCGGCTCTTGCGTCGAGAGCGTCTGGTGGAATCGCGCCGACTTTCTCTGCTCAAACCCTCCGGCTCCTCCTCGATCACCAGAATCTTGTCGTCACTGAGGTAACGGAGCAGGGAGTTGTCCGAATCTATTGGACAGGGGGGAAAAAGTGGGGGACATGAGAGGATGGACAGGATCAGTAAAATGGATAACAATAAAAGGAAAATCCTCAAAGGGAGTAGATAGCATCAAGAAGCTCAGGGAAGGAACGGCTGAGGCTGAATGAACTCTTCCATATAAAAATAAACAGTAAAGGAAAAAAAGTGCCTCACAGCAGAAAGACAGATCACACTTGGGGACGTACAGTATACAGTAGCTATTATCTATTTGCTGCAAATAGGCTGATTCGGAGGGTTCTCCTGCTATATCATGTGCAAAAGTAAAATTTTACTACGCTGAATACATAAAACTTTTAAACTAATTTGTCCAACATTCATAAATTCAAAAATAAAGCAAACAAAGAAGCGAAAAGAAAAACAATGGCAGCCCTTCATGTATTAGCACTGTGCTTTAATATTATTCATAGACTTTCTGGTGGCAGAGTGAAGGATCCTCGCTTGAAAACAAATCAAGTCTCACCGCTCGAGTTTGAGTCTGTCACGTTGTCCTTTCCAGCTCAGGTGTATAAATGCAATTACCTTGCATTTATGTTATTTGTCGCTCCATCAGATACATACCTAGCAGGATATGTATCGCTACACAATCACACAACCATGAATAACCAGAAGATGAGCTGAAATGTGTTGAGCTGGGTATGGAGCAAAGCACGGCTACAATTTAAGAGTGTATTTTTCCATGTGAGTGTGTGTGTATGTGTGTGTTGTTGGTGTGTGTACCTCGGCTCCCTCTCTTTCCCATGCTGGGTTCCTTGGCCTCAGCCATCCAGTTATATTCAGGAGGCATGGAAACGGGTCTGAGATCACCTGGAAGCACCAATCAGCAGTCAGACAGTCTGCCATAGGGGAGGCGATGACTGAGAGACAGCGAGGGAGACAGCTGGAAGGGTGGACAGGTGAGACAACGAGGGGGTGTGTGCAGATAGAGGAGGACTCGTGAGGGACCACTACCACTTGGACACGGTGCGACAAAGGAGAGACCTGCAATATTTTGTTTTGATGATAATTGTTTTGCATTAAAGGTAGCACAACCCTGTTGCGCAAGACCTGCTCATCCGTTCCCCCATGTTTGTTATGTGTGTCTTTCTCTTGAACGGGTGTTCTTTAACTGCAATTTTGTTCTACATTGCATCCCTGATGTTATGTTTGAATGACAGTAAAGCTGATTCTGATTACAACTTCTTGTGACAAACACTGTTTCACTGAAGGGTCTTTTAGAGCAGTGGTTCCCAAAGTTGTGGTTGACATCCTACTTTATACTCATGTTTAACATTATATGCAAAGTTCATATCTTTAAACTAGCTATATTTGGGGCCCCTGTTATTTTTATTTTGTGTGTGTCAAAGAAAAGTTGTAGAGTCATAGCCGTGTTTATGGATCTACATGGCACCTTTTGGTCACAATCCTTTGAGGGTCCAAATATTCTGTATGGCTCCACGTGCAGGTCATAGGTTGGAAGTGTATCAAGGAATCTCATCATAAACAAGGAGCGCTGGTCTCAACAGCGGTCCTTGCAACCACAATGACCTGTGGATATTCATATATTGCCTAAGAGCAACACTGTTTTTTGTGGTCACCATCCTCTGAAACGTGTTGTTTCAGAGGTAAACAGACATGCAGCAATTTCTCATGATGTCCAGTAGAGATCTAACCCTGTGGATAAACATATACTCCCCTGTGCCTTTCTTCTCTGGTTGATGAGTGCATCCTTTGCTGAATCACTCAAAAGTTGAGCAGTAGAAATTGCCATAAACCTGGCCCTGGGCGTGACAAGGCCTAGGGCACAAAGCAAACTGATTTTGCCCTCCAAAAGTTCAAGACTTGAGATTGGTTCAGCACCAAGCCCATGTATTTCTTCATCTCTGTTGTTGTATTTTACAGGGGTTAGACAATGAAACTGAACCAACTGGTTTTAGACCATAACGTCCCTTTCAGACTGCTTCCTCTTGCATCCACAGTTAATCCTGTTGGATGTGGTTGGTCCTTCTTGGTGGTATGCTGACATTACCCTGCATAACGTGGCTCTTGATACATCACAAAGACTTGCTGTCTTGGTCACAGATGCTCCAGCAAGACGTGCACCAACAATTTGTCCTCTTTTGAACTCTGGTATGTCACCCATAATGTTGTGTGCATTGCAATATTTTCAGCAAAACTGCGCTCTTACCCTGCTAATTGAACCTTCACAGTCTGATCTTACTGGTGCAATGTGCAATTAATGAAGATTGGCCACCAGGCTGGTCCAATTTAGCCATGAAACCTCCCACACTAAAATGACAGGTGTTTCAGTTTCATTGTCCAACCCCTGTATAAATTCTTTCCATCTTTGTAGATTTGTGGCTGCATATAACAGATTTTTTTCACCAAAGTTTCAAAACTTTGAGGTCAAAATAATGGCACAATTTTTTTTTCTTTTTATTTAATTTTTGGTCTTGGTCTTGACTCGCTTTCGTCACCTGTCTTGCTCACAACTTGGTACAGCCCCTAATATTCTGGAATTTGTCTCGATACTCTTGATACTCTGGTCTTGGTCTTGACTTGGTCTCGGGTAAGGTGGTCTTGACATTAGTACTACAGGCTATTGTATACATACAGTTTGTGCTGAATGTGCTATTTCTCTGCTTTCCTGTACCATTGAGAGTTTATTTTAGATTTACAGTAATGAGAAGCATGTGTGCCAAATCCTGTAGGCATAAAAAATGGTAATAAAAAGGGTTGGTTTGTGAGTTCACCACATGGCTCAAAAATAAATGGCAAACATTCCTGAAAAAAATTGTTCTTCCTACTTTTAGTTTCTTCAGTACACTTTTTAGACTGTGATAAACTTCAGCCTACTTTGAGTTATTTCTAAACAATAGTTCAAGACATTACAGCTATAACTTTTGATATTTGTAACTTCTTAACCTTTTTAGTTAATTTTATTTACATATTTTTGTAGAAATACACTGAAATCTCTTGAAACCTTAAAAAATGGGCTCTTGCATCATTTTTTTGCTAGTTTTAGCTACTGTTTTGCTGGTTTTAGCTTTTTTATTTTGATATTTTTAACATTTGTTCTAATCAGTTTGTTCAGTTTCAGCTTCTTCAACAAATTTCAGCAGACATTCAGCACTCAGCATTTTTTTTCTTCATACCAGCTCGTTTGTGTGTGTGCAAGCATGCATGTGTGTGTTTGATGTGCCAATATTCTGGTCAGACTTGGCAGAAATTTTTGTGTGGGCATCAGAACACATTAGAGAAAAAGGATGTTTGCATGTATATTTATGAAGGGAGTTCAGTTTCCCAACCCTCGTCTTGCACGTCCTATGGTTCTGCAGTCCCTCGATACGCTGACAGAGAGGTGTCTTTAAGAGGCCATCTCGGGTCAAAGGTGGACGCAGGTGGCAGGGCAGACAGGGAGCTGAAGCAGCAGTGTGTACAAACTGTGACAAAATGTGCTGTCCCTGTTGGGGGTGTGTGTGTAAAGACACAAGGAGAGCACAGCAATGAGGAAACGGTGAAAGGATGGAGAGAACTGGTGGAGGTGAACATGCATCACACAAAAACCAGAGATGCTTCACATCCCTGCTCCCTCCTCCATCCGGGTCTTGATTTCCTGTCTCACCATGCGTTGGGGTCTTGTCCCGTCGTCGCACTCCTGTATTGCGACCGCGGTCATAGTCAGGCCCAACCGGTCCATCTCCTTCTAGCAGGGAGAAGTACTGACCACTGTCCTGGTCCAGGTAGTAGCTGACGGCCTCCGATCCTTTGGAGCCGGACTGGGAGCTCACGCTGTAGCGGCTGATGTCGTCACATGACATCAGGCCCATCTCTTCCCTGCGGAGGGCAGAACTGTCACCATCAGTGTCATCAGCATCATCACCACTGTCATCAGCAGCATCATGATAATCAACATAATGACCTTCCTTGGGAAAAAAAAGAACAGGACACTGTGTGTGTGAACATGTATTTGCTACGTCATGGGGACCATTTTCCAGACAAACACAGCCTTGTGGGGACCCGATGCTCCTTATGGGAACCAAAGCCTGATCCCCATGAACACATTTGGTTGATCATAGTATTTTGTCAGTTATGTATAGGGCCCATAAAAACGTATTACCTTCTAACATCCAATTACATTATATTAAAAGAGAGAGTTGTTACAATCTGAAGGGGATAGAAATGTTTGTGAGACCTAAAATTAGAACCAGTTTGAGGGAACGGATTACTTCAGTCCAGGGAATTAAATTATGGAATAATCTGGAAGATGACATTAAAAATGCCAAAATTTAAGAGAATGATAAAGGTGAATTTGTTGGAGAAATATGTATGGGTATAATGTACGATGGAATTAAACCTTTATTGTTTTTCTTTTATTTTTTTTGTGTGTTTTTGTAAATTGAATATTATTTTTGATTGAATTTATTTTTTTTTGAGAAAAAGGGGCAGAAATCATAAGATTTTTTTCTTCTTCTGCTGCCTTTCATTTTGTTTATAT